AGGGTGGTGATTCTGATAGTATTTCTGTGGTAGTGGTAGTAGTATACATTGATGCACAGTGTGGTGATTCTGGACTTGGTTACCCTTGTTAACACCATCTAAGTACACACAGAGCTTGATAACAATAATGTAACCTTCTTCATATATACCCATCACTAACTATATATATGGGATTATATGTATCATTGACTAAGTATATGCGAATGTCAATGTTTATAATATTCAAGTAGTTTCTTACCTCACTATGGTATTCCTTATGATCCTGTGTTTTCAATGTGTATTTAAACCAATAAAGACCAGTTTGTGACCTAACTGGCTTTGGTCAAGGTAGTTTTTCAGTAATAATGCCCAGTTCATCGTTACGGACGCCTGTCATAGGGTATGGGTATAAAAGTCATGGTAACTACAACTAAGCTGACACTCCGCAAAGGTTATCATATCAGAATATGTCCCACACACACTGGAGGATTACAAAAATCATGAATAGACTTTGCCACCTCAGGTGGTACCAATAAGTGATTTTTTTTTTTTTATCTGGGCCCAAGGACTATGCCTGGCAAGGCGACATTGAATAATCCTTGCCAGGACCTCTTCCAGCACACTGAGGAGTGAGATGCCCCTGCAGTTGTGACAGTCTGTCCCCTTTCTTAAAAAGAGGGACCACCAGGGCATCCTTCCAATCCTGCGGAACCCGTCCAGTGGTCGAGACTGTTGTTATGATGTCATGTCGGGCAGTCTGTGCACAAACGCCACCCTCCCTCAGCATTTTGCTTTGGAGATCATCTCTGCCTGGTGCCTTTCCTGGTCTCAGGCTCTGGATTGCCTTCAGCACTTCCTCAACAGATACTAACTCAGCCAGCCACTCACAGGGGGTGACTTCTTCCAATAACCTCGGCAGGGTCATCCCCACTTTATCCCACGATGTTTCTAGGCTGAGGGATTTCCCCTCACCCAGGACCTCGCAGAAATGCTCAGCAAATCTGCAAAACTGTTCCTGGGGGTCGGAGATTGAATCACCGTTCTTTCGCCTAATGATGGTAATAGGTGTGGTGCTGCAGGTTACTTTTTTGGTGGAGTTAAAGAGCGATTTGTGATCGCGGGCCATTGAGGCAGACTCCATCTCCTCAGCAACCCGCGACCACCAACCATCCTTGCAGTGCCTCACGACTCTCCGAACCTCCAAGCGAATGCTGTGGTAAGCCTCCTCATTCTCTGACGTGGGATGCTGTAGACGATGAGAGTGAGCCTGTCGCTTTTCCTCAGCCAGCCTGAACACCTTCTCTGTCAGCCAGGGTCTCTGGGGAAGTCTGGACCGTGTACCCAAAGCAGTCATTGCAGCTGCATGAGTCACAGTCCTAAACCTCGCCCATTTACCCTCGACATCAGGAGGAGTGGGCGACGATGCCAACCCCAGCCGCAAGCAATGATGAAATTCTCGCTTGCAACTTTCATCAGCTAGCTGAGACCATGCCACTATGGGTTTTAATGGGGCCCTGCGTGTACACCCACTACCGGAGTGGAAGAATGGCAGGCGCATCTTACAGATGACAAGTTGATGGTCAGTGGGCAGATCAGCTCCACGGTAGGTTCTGGTATCAAGGACATGGACCTGCATATGCTCTTCCGTCACTATGTAGTCCAGCAAATGTTCTTGCTTGGACCCGGCATGCATCCATGATGTTGTGTGGATGCGCCGATGCCGGAACAGCGTGTTGGTAATTACAAGTCCATGGGCTGCATAAAAATCTATCAGCCTCCTACCGTTGTTATTGAGCTGATCTGGCCCATGCCCTCCATCACTCCAGACCAGGTGCCAGAATCATGGCCAACTCGGGCATTAACGTCACCCCAACATGATGATTCTTTCCCGAGGGGCCACTTTAGTCAGCACCTGTTACAGGAGGTCATAGAAGGCATCTGACTCATCGGCCTTGCCTGCATCCCTCCACGGATGTTCGTCTTCAGTGGGGGCATAAGTAACCACGACCACCACTCCTCACCTCTGGTTGATGGGAAGGTGAGCCCAAAGTAGCCTGGGGCTTACAGCTTCCCACACCTCACCGCCACGCTCCCGTGCCCCCTTCATTCTTTTGTTCAGAAGAAGAACCACTCCCTGTTGTTTGACAGTCTCCTGCCCCAAGTAGAGGACTCTCCACCCCTCATGGTGGCAGGAGCCAGAGCCAGTCCACCAGACCTCCTAAATACCACAGAGATCCAGGCGGTACCGGTCCAGCTCCCGACAGAGGAGTGGCAGCCTCTCTTCCGCAGTGAGCATTCGAACATTCCACGTGGCCATCCGTAGTGGCTTTTTGTTGTTTCTGGAGGAGCCCCGAGGGTAAGGATTCAGTCGCCTGGCTCCGCCAAATGGAGTTTGGCTAGGAGACGTCATATATGCTTGTCCCCCCAGGGCCTCCATCACAAGCTTAATACACCTTTTTATTCTTTGGATTTTCGGTGAAGTCACGTAGATAGGTTCAAAGAAAATTGCAAAAATAACAAGTTATTTTCTTTAAACCTATCTACGTGACTTTACCGAAAGACCCAAAGAATATTAATTTCTGCAGTCACGAAAGCTTTAGGTCAAGATTTTACACTTTTTTAACTCGTAGTTTAGTGGTAGTTATTTGAAGGTGCAGGGGTTGCCAGCCACTCGCACCCATCCAGATCCCCCATTTGGCCGCTGTGGTGGTTACAAACGCCATGAAGGGAAGGGCCAATTTAAATTGGCCCTCTCCCCACTGCACTGCTCACCACAGCATTGCCATCTGGCACCACAAGGAGGTAGGGGGTTGTTTTGCCGGACATACATACACACATACAACAACAACCGCCGTTCGCCACTAAGTGGCAGTGACGTCACCAGAACGCTTGTGCCAGGCCATGTGCACCTTGAGGCCACGTGAAGTGTCGAACGCTCGCTGGCAGGAGGTCACGGGGCAGACCCAGGTGCCTCGGGTCGACTGACTGAGATGACCGAGATGACCGGCTGATGCACCAAATGTGCCCCCTACTGTGCCAACCTGCTGTGCTTTAGTGTAGATGTACATCGCGTGGGTAGATGTACATCACGTGGGTAGTTGTACATCACGTGGGTGGTTGTACATCGCGTGGGTAGATGTACATCGCGTGGGTAGTTGTACATCACGTGGGTAGTTGTACATCACGTGGGTGGTTGTACATCACGTGGGTGGATGTACATCACGTGGGTGGTTGTACATCACGTGGGTGGTTGTACATCACGTGGGTGGTTGTACATCACGTGGGTAGTTCGCCACTGGGGAGACAAAGGCGGCCGGGCGTGTTGCTGGCCACCCACTCCCTCATGCGCCTTGGCGGCCTTCATAGGTGCTACTCGCTAACAGTACTTGCCCCGACAGTCTGTTAAGGCTATACGGGGCATCCTTGTCTTTGTGCCAAGAGCCGTCCGGATTCCAATACTTGTGCGCGTGTGTTCGAGGGAGTGCCGCTCAGTCGAATGGAAGTTCCTGGGAATATTGATATTGCAGATTGAACAAAAAAAATTTCACGTCCTTATCCCCCCCCCCCCCCCCAAAAAAAAGGTATGCGACTCACGAAAATGAAAACTCACAAATCTCACGGACATTAAAAACTGGCGCCAATCAATACGCTCGGAGCGCAGAATGCTTGTACTTTGAACTTCTTTCCCACCGTACGTAGCCAACTGTGCTAATCGGAGGTGCAGTGTTGAGTCTATGGGCAGTGTTGAGTAAATGGACAGTGTTGAGTCTATGGACAGTGTTGAGTCTATGGGCAGTGTTGAGTCTATGGGCAGTGTTGAGTCTATGGGCAGTGTTGAGTCTATGGGCAGTGTTGAGTCTATGGGCAGTGTTGAATCTATGGATAGTGTTAGTCTATGGGTAATGTTAGTCTATGGGTAATGTTAGTCTATGGGCAGTGTTAGGTCTATGGGCAGTGTTGAGTCTATAGGTAGTGTTGAGTCTATGGGCAGTGTTAGTCTCTGGGCAGTGTTGAGTCTATGGGCAGTGTTGAGTCTATGGGCAGTGTTGAGTCTATGGGCAGTGTTGAGTCTATGGGCAGTGTTGAGTCTATGGGCAGTGTTGAGTCTATGGGCAGTGTTGAGTCTATGGGCAGTGTTGAGTCTATGGGCAGTGTTGAGTCTATGGGTAGTGTTGAGTCTATGGGTAATGTTAGTCTATGGGCAGTGTTGAGTCTATGGGCAGTGTTAGTCTATGGGTAATGTGAGTTTATGGGCAGTGTTAGTCTATGGGCAGTGTTAGTCTATGGGCAGGATGTATGTTGAACTTCTTTCGCACCGTACGTAGCCAACCGCGCTAATAGGAGGTGCGCGGGAGGGACAACAGCGAACTACGCACAAGCGGCAGATCTAAAGAAGTGAGTTTGTCAATTTAGATTATTTAAATGTGCACGGCTCCCGGTGGCTTCCTACTATCGGAAGGAAGAGCGTTCCAGACGGCCCCAGAAGCGCGCGTGAAAGCGCCGTGTGGTGCGGCGGCTGCCGCCTTTGTCCGACGACTCGCAGACAAAATCCGCCGCTGCTGCTGCTGCTTCCGCTGCTGCTGCTGCTGCTGCGATGATGATGATGATGAGCGGAGTCGGCGTGATGGTTGATGCTCCTTTGACGACGCCGGCGAGGTGCCGTGGTTCACTTTGCGCCGCTCGCTCTGTGCGTAACGAGCGCGACCTCACCGGGGAGATTCGCTGCTGCTGCTGCTGCGACATTTGGCTCTTCGACGAGATTCCGCCTCCCTCGTCGCAGTGGTTCACTCCGTCTCTCCGTGTCCCTCTCCCCTCCTCTCGCCACCTCTTCTTGACCTCCCACTCTCTCTTCCGCTCCTCATCCCCATGCCCTCTCCCTCCCCCGTGCCCCCACACCCCCACCCTGATGCCCCCACTCCTCCCCGAGTCTCCCTCCGTCTCGCCACCCTCCTCTCCTTTTCCCCTGCTGTGCCCCCCACCCCTGTGCCCCCCCATTGCCCCCCCCCCCGCCACGTGTGCAGGCTTCTCTGTGCGCATGCTGGACGTGGACGAGAATAAGCGCACGCGCACCGCCTACACTCGGGCACAGCTGCTCGAGCTGGAGAAGGAGTTCCGCTTCAGCCGGTACCAGACATCAACATCATCAGCAGCAACAGCACAAACATCATCATCAGCAGCAGCACAAACATCATCAGCAGCAACAGCACAAACATCATCATCAGCAGCAGCAGCAGCAGCAGCACAAACATCATCAGCAGCAGCACAAACATCATCATCAGCAGCAACAGCATAGACATCATCAGCATCATAGACATCATCATCATCAGCAGCATAGATATCATCAGCAGTGTAGACATCATCAGCAGCAGCAGATGCGGCTTTATCATCAGAAGCAGCATCATTGTCATCATAATCATTACATAATACGAGTTTTTTTGGGTTAGATCGCGTAAATATATAAATGTTGTGTCGTTAAACCCGCCACCACCCGACACAGCCAACTAGCAAGGGTTGTCACGTAAACAGAACGTGGCCAATTCGTTACTAGTGCAGCACGCCGGTGTGTTGGAGAGCCAAGCCACAACATTTACAATCTGAGTACAATCTGAGGACTCAGATTGTAAATGTGTTGAAGAGCAAATCCACAAGATTGTAAATGTTGTGGATTTACTCTCCAACACACCGGTGCGCTGTACTAATAACGAATTGGCACGTTTTGCTTACGTGACAAACCTTGCTAGTTGGCTGTGTCGGGTGGCGGCGGGTTTAACGACACATTTTTATATTTACGCGATCTAACCCAAAGAAAAAAATCTGCATTATGGATGATATTGGTCGCGAAAGCCTACGTGCTAATTAATCATCATCGATACCGAGACAATCATCAACAGCATGCTAAACATACATCATCATCGGCTGCAGCAGCAGCAGCATCGGCGTCGACATCATCACAAGCAGCATCAAGGCAGATGCATCATCAACATCATCAACATCATCATCAGCAGCAGCAGCATCCGCTCATGTGCAACTAGAATGAGGACGCATTGCTTCGAGTCGCGAGATGGGTGTGTGTGTGCGTGTGTGCGCGTGTGTAAGTGCGTCTTTGTGTGGGGAGCGGCGCTGTAGCGGTCAGCGGAGATCCCGAGTTGGATTCCCGCTCACGGTCAACGCCAGTGAGGATTACCCGAAGCGGTCCTGGGCCTCCTCTAGGTCGACTCAGCCTTAAATAAGTAGCTGGTGCGGTGCGCAAACATCGCCACTGGGGATACGAAGGCGGTCGGGCGTGGTGCTGGCGACCCACCACGCCGTGTGCCGTGCCGGCCTTCATAGGTGCTACTCGCTAACAGCACTTGCCCCTACAGTCTGTTAAGGCAATGCGGGGGATCTTTGTTTTCTTGGAGCGGTGGTGCAGCGGTTAGCGCACTGCGCTACGAACATGGCGACCCGGGTTCGATTCCCGCCCACGGCCACCAAACTCCAGTGACGAACATCTGAACCGGTCCTGGTCCCTCACCCAGGTCGACTCAGCTTCCAATGATTAGGATGTGTAAAGATCGTACGCTCGGGAGACAAAGGCGGTCGGGTGTGGAGCGGGCCACCCTCGTGTGTGCCACAGTGCCGGCCTTCATAGGTGCTGCTCGCTAACAGCACTTGCCCCCACAGCCTGTTAAGGCTACACGGGGGATCTTTGTGTTTACGATTGACCAAATCATCTGGAATCAGTGTCGTCAGATCCCGCAAGCTTTAGCAGAGTTTCAGCCCGAATAATGTAGAGATGCACGGACGAGCACGATGTACACCAGGTGTTATAGGCTGCGAGGTGTACCCAGTGCCGGATGAAGTTAGTGTGGGGGCCTCTAGCATATGTTATAAAGTGGCCCTGAATAATTAAAAAACACACATAAATATTAAAACACAAATGTGTAACTTGCGTAGTAAAGTAATTGTTTATTTTGTATTTGCTACACAGCCAGATAATACGACAAATCGCTCACCTGAAACACCCAGTCGTTCGTAAAAGTCGAAGGCGGTATAGTACTATAGTAATAGAGCAAGTGCAGAATCACTGAAACGGAATTGACAGCTTGAAAGCATTTAGCGTGGTGCCCTTGGAAGTGCGGGGCCCGTAGCTACTACATGTGCAGCTTTACATGTGTAGTAGCTACTATAAATGTAGTAGCTACTACACATGTGGTTGCTACGACACATGTAGTAGCTGCTACATATGTAGTAGCTACTACACATGTAGCAACATATGTAGTAGCTACTACACATGTAGCAGCTACTACACATGTAGCAGCTACTACATATGTAGCAGCTACTACATGTGTAGCAGCTACTACACATGTAGTAGCTACTACACTTGTAGCAGCTACTACATATGTAGTAGCTACATGTGTAGTAGCTACTACATATGTGTGTAGTAGCTACTAGCTACATGTGTAGTAGCTACGAGTAGTATGTATGTACATATGTAGTAGCTACTACACATATGTAGTAGCTACTAGTAGTACTAGCTACTAGTAGTAGCTACTACATACGTGTAGTAGCTGCTACATGTAGTAGCTACATGTAGTAGCTACTTTTGCGACGAGGATAATCCAGCACTGGCCGTGGCTACGTTGTGGGGCAGCACAAAGGGCAGTGGAGCGACACAACAATGCCGTGCTCCTCGGCATTCACCGAGCCGGTGAAGTATGGTCAAACATCGCAGCCGGGGTCGCGCGGCGTGGGGTGAGGCCTTCATCCAGCGGTGGATTGACGGAGGGGACCGTGCGTCATCATCACGACCGCTGCCCACTGTAGTTAATTTGACGTCGCGAGGTTTGCAGAAAGCGGCATTTGCTGTGATGGTTGTTGTTGTTGTTGTTGCTGTTTGTTAATTCGTGAGAGTTGGGAGGAGCGGTGCCACGTAAAGCTGCGTCGGTTCGCTTGGCGCCAGCGGTCGACAACGCTCGAGGCTCACAGCAAGAAGCGGCTGGGTTCGACTCCCTGGGCCGTCCATCCCGAAGGGGGGGGGGGGGGGTGGAGTTTGCGTGTCTCTCTCTCATCATCATCATCACGGTGGCTATGAGATGTTAACTACCTCGCCTGGTATACGGGAGATCGTGGGTTCCATCCCAACCCCTACGCCTGCTGCTGTATATTGGTAGTTTGCGTGTCTCTCTCCCCGTGGTCGCGTTTGATTCTTTTTTAATCCGAGTCCTGCGGGTTTTTTCTCTCCACGTTTAGAATCGACGTAACGCGTTCAGAGTCTTTGGCTGCTGCACCATTGCCACGTGTCGATAAGCCACCTCGTTGGGCTCCCATTCGTGAGGGCCAGGTCACTTCTGCTAAAGGTCTCCACGGCAGCTCAGTGGGGCCTTGACACTGGTTACAACAAAAAAAAACATGAACTAGTTTCGTTTCTAGTTTAAGTGACATGGAGCAGCACGGCCGTGGTTTTTAAAGGGACGGTTTAGGTGCGGGCCCCGTCGAAGGCGCGGGAATATCCCCCACGCCCCACGCCCCCCCCCAAAGCGCGGGGCCCGGGGCGGATGCCCAGAAGTTCTTTGCGTCTTGTAGCTACACCATTCCTGCGTGGAGTTTGTATGTTCTCTCTCTCTCTCTCTCTGTATATATATCCCCTTGGTCTGCACGGGTATCTCTCCCCGTTCGCCGATTCCCTTCCATGGCGAAAACTCTCGCAATGTCGGTGACGTTGGCGTTGGCCAAACGTCACAATGTTGCACAGGAGCCCCTCCCGAAAGAAACAACAACAACAACAACACGAGTCCTCGCACAACCGTGGGTCTTTTCTCATGGGCGAGCGAGTAATTGGTGTTAACGGTAATACGTGGATCTCACCTTTCAATCATCACGGAAATGCGACGAGTTCAACCCCAGGCTGCCGTGTGTGTGTGTTTGTGTTGGTACCCAAGTGGCTTTCCATGACCGCACGCACGACGTTGAACTTTGAACTAATGAATACTGCGCAACAGAGATCATCCACACGTCTCCGCTTATGAGCAAGTTGACATTGTTGTATCGCCAGCGCGGGTTCTCGAGTGAGGCAAAGATGATGAAAGTGGCGTGGTTGATGACTCTGCAGGAATGCTGTTCCCGACTCCTCCGGCTGGAATGAAGCATTGCTCCAATATCCAAATGTTGCAGCTTCATTAATGACGATTTTTTTTTTTTTAAAGAGACAAAAATAAAAAATATATATATGAATTCACATCGCCCCCTTGCACGGACTGATCAATGAGCTGGGCATTAGGAAATCAAAATTCTGCTCACCCTCTAAAGAGGGACTGATTAATTGGCTGGAACTATAAAATTAAAATTAACTTCACATCCTAGGACGGGCTGACCAATGAGCTGGCATTATAAAATAGAAAATCATGTCGTTCCCTAAGATGGACTGATCATCGAGCTGGGCATGAGAAAGTACAAATTCACATCGCCCCCTAATACGGTCTGATCAATAGGCTGGCACTACAAAGTGAAAATTCGCCTTGCTCCCTAGAACGGGTTGATCATTGGGCTGGCATTAGAAAATTTACATTCAATTCACCCCATTGGACAGACTGATAAATGAGCTGGTATTTAAAAAAAAATCGACTAACCCTCTAAGGAGGGACTGATTAATGGGCTGGCACTAAAAATGTAAATTCACTTCACTTCCTCGAACGGGCTGATCAATGAGCTGGCATTAGAAAGTGAATCCAAATGTCGCTTCTCTAAGATGAACTGATCAAGGGGCTGGCACTATAACGTTTAAATTCACTTCACTTCCTAGGATGGGCTGATCATTTGGCTGGCATTATAAAAGGAAAATTCCTCTCACCACTTCGGACGGTTTGATCAATGAGCTGGCTGCAGAATGATAAAAATTCACCTCGCCACCTAGGACGGACTGATCAATAATAATAATAATTACAATCATGTAGCGATTTTCATCAAGGATCTCAAAAACGCTGTACATGACACAGCAGCTGCAGCAGCTGCTGCAGACGCACGGCGTACAAAATAACACCATGAATACATTTTAGAAAAAAAAACATATTTACTAAAAAAAAAATTAACAACAAAAATTCATAAGCGGGAGCGTATAAATTAGCGCAATGTCAAAAATGTCCACAGACTCAGACAAACCCTGGCATTTTTAAATTTTGATTTAAAGCTTTCGTGACTGCAGTAATTCATATTCTTAGTTTTTTTCGGTAAAGTCACGTTGACTTTACGTCGTGAGAATTTTTTTTTTATTGTTTTATATATATTTTGTTATTTTGTTGTTTCTCTTCAACGTGACTTTACCGAAAAAACTAAGAATATAACCCCTGGCATGTTGTGGAAGAGCTGACATCTCCACCCCCCACCCCACCCCCCACCCCCCCACCCCACCCCCCGGACAGGTACATCCCGCGCGCGCGCCGCGTGGAGCTGGCGTGCGCGCTGGGCCTCACGGAGCGCCACGTCAAGATCTGGTTCCAGAACAGGCGAATGAAGTGGAAGAAGGAGGAATCCTCTTCCAGCAGCTTCGGCTGAGGCGGCGCGTGGCGCGGCCCCCGACACGCCACGCCGATGCGTTACGTGGGGCCACGCGAAAGGTATTGTTGTTGATTGACCGCCGGCTGTGTGCGTGGTTAGCGCACTGGACTTGCAACACAGAGGTCACCTCGCCGCCTGTACCGCCCCCTCCCGGCCATAGGAATGTGGAATTCCCGCGTCAGGGCTGTAAACGGGAGATGGGCATCTCACAGGCAGCCTATAGCACCTGTTATGCGCGCTGCTCGTCCATCCACGCACTGTCCAGGCTCAACCCGAGATGTGAACTCTCTCGCCAGGTACGCAGGAGGTCGTGGGTTCGATCCCGACCCTGATTTTTCTCCGGGTCCTCCGGTTTTTCCCTCCACATTTAGAATCAACATCACGCGTTTAGATTATCTGGCTGCTATACATTTACACGCGATAAGCCGCTTCGTTGAGCTATCATTTGTGATGGCCAGGTGGCTTATCATCAAGAGCCGTATAGCTCAGTTGGGCCTTAGCCGATGAAATAAAACAAAAAATATGTTTATGGTTGTAACCGTGAGTGCTACATCTGTACGTTGAACTCATCCACAATGTCCTGACCACTAATGAACGAATGCCAATCTAATGCCAATCTACCAGTGGCATCAACACGGGACTGCATTCATGGCATTTATTGTCAGGGCTCTACAGCTCTAGGGGGCCCTTACTTGGATAAAATAAAAAAAATAGTGTTAACAGTGCTTTCTTTTTTGTTCCTTTGACTCTGGGAGATATGTAAACTCGCTCGAGAATATTGTATCGCGTTGCAAAGAGCGCACCGTGTGCGTGTGTCTGTGTGCATTCTTAGCAGTTGTAGCACACGTGGGTGCGGGCTGCCACCGTGGCTTAGCGGTGGTTGTCCCGCCCAGGTCACCCACGCCTCGATCTCCCCGCCATCGACGCCTCTGTCCGCCCAGCAGCAGTATAAATACGTGGGTTGCAGCAAAGCGCGTCGATCGGCAGGCAGGTCTCGTGTGGTGGGGTCAAGGGCGGTGGGTACTCCAAACCGTAACACGTTTGGCCAGTGGTGGAAGAGTAGGCCAAGTTATTATATCGAGGGGCGGTTTGGGGTTCTAGAGCTCTCTAGCGGATGGGAAGGGGGAGGGGGGGGGTGCTTCCGCTAGCAGTGGCGTCGGCAGGCAATTGCAGGGCTGCGCCTGTATCATCGCCTTATTATTATTATTATCATCAAAATAAGTTTATAATAATAAGACGAGACTCAAAAGGAAGCTGTCTCTGGTGTGGACCAATCAGTTTCAAGGACAATGCATAAATTATCAGAATATGTTTTTTGTTTGCATTCTGACCACAAATAGCGTGGTTAATGCAGACATCATTCTTCGTGAAAGGTCTCAGTTTGGTGTTTTAACATCTCAACACAGCTGTTTTGTTGCCAGAAAAAAAGGGGGACCAAAAAAACCTATTATCATATTTTGGTACTGGCAAAAGGAGGGTCCCGTGGATATTATAATTATTATTTTTATTATTCAAATTGTCGAGAGTCTCGCCCGCCCGCCCGCGACGTGAATCCTCCTCCAGCGCTGCGGCTGCAAGGACCTCGGTAAACAGAACGCCGTGATCGGCCAGAGGAGGCGTCGCCTTGAACAAGCGGGGCAGAGACCGATGCAGACGCAGGCGCTGGGGGTGAAGTGAACGCGAACTAGCCCGAGGAGCCGTGGCGCGGTGTTGGTGAGCGCACGGGGTGCTCGTGAGAGCCAGCGGCCGGGGTCGGACTCCCGGGCTCACGGCTCGGAGAGATGTCGGCAAGGGATGCCTGAGGACGGTGCTGCTACTCCGCTCACCACCCCCCCCTCCATCCCCCTCCACCCCGCCCCCCTCCACCCCCCTTCCACCCCCCTCCACCCCCCCGCCACCCCCGCCCCCCTCCTCCCCCGCCCCCCTCCAGCCCCCTCCACCCCCGCCCCTCGGTGTGACTCACCACTGCCACCTGCCTCGGCTGAAGTGGAACAACAACTACAGACGAACTACAGCGAGCACACCACCACAACCACTACACACCATTACAACCACTACACACTACTACAACCACTACACACTACTACAACCACTACACACACCACTACAACCACCACCACAACCACTACACACTTCACCACAACTACTACACACCACTACAGCCACAACCACTACACACCACTACACACGTCACTACAACCACTACACACGACTACAACCACTACACACACCACTACAACCACCACCACAACCACTACACACGTCACCACAACCACTACACACCACTACAACCACTACACACCACTACAGCAACTAACACTACACACACCACTACAACCACTACACACCATTACAACCACTACACACCACTACAGCCACTACCACTACACACACCACTACAACCACCACCACAACCACTACACACGTCACCACAACCACTACACACCACTACAACCACTACACACCACTACAGCAACTAACACTACACACACCACTACAACCACTACACACCATTACAACCACTACACACCACTACAGCCACTACCACTACACACACCACTACAACCACCACCACAACCACTACACAAGTCACCACAACCACTACCACTACACACCACTACAGCCACAACCACTACACACGTCACCACAACCACTACACACCACTACACACACCACTACAGCCACTACACACCATTACAACCACTACACACGTCACCACAACCACTACCACTACACACACCACTACACACCACTACACACACCACTACAGCCACAACCACTACACACCACTACAACCACTACACACCACTACACACCACGCAACCACTACACACCACTACAGCCACTACACACCACTACAGCCACTACACACCACTACAGCCACTACACACCACTACACACACCACTACACACCACTACAACCACTACACACCACTACAGCTGCTACCACTACACGCACCACTACAGCCACTACCACTACACACACCACTACACACCACTACAGCCACTACCACTACACACACCACTACAACCACCACCACAACCACTACACACGTCACTACAACCACTACACACCACTACAAAATAAAGACAAAGATCCCCCATATAGCCTTAACAGACTGTAGGGGCAAGTGCTGTTAGCGAGCACCTCGCTGTTAGCGAACACACCACTACACACACCACTACAGCCACAACCACTACACACCATCACAACCACTACACACGTCACCACAACCACTACCACTACACACCACTACACACCACCACACACACCACTACAGCCACAACCACTACACACCACTACAACCACTACACACCACTACAGCCACTACCACTACACACACCACTACAACCACCACCACAACCACTACACACGTCACCACAACCACTACACACGCCACCACAACCACTACACACTACTACACACACCACTACAGCCACAACCACTACACACGTCAGTACAACCACTACACACCACTATAGCCACAACCACTACACACCACTACACACGTCACTACAACCACTACACACTACTACAACCACTACACACACCACTACAACCACCACCACAACCACTACACACGTCACTACAACCACTACACACCACTACACACCACTACAGCCACAACCACTACACACCATTACAACCACTACACACCACTACAACCACTACACACCACTACAGCCACTACCACTACACACACCACTACAACCACCACCACAACCACTACACACGTCACCACAACCACTACACACGTCACCACAACCACTACACACTACTACACACACCACTACAGCCACAACCACTACACACGTCACCACAACCACTACACACGTCACCACAACCACTACACACCACTACACATACCACTACAGCCACAACCACTACACACGTCAGTACAACCACTACACACCACTACAGCCACAACCACTACACACCACTACACACGTCACTACAACCACTACACACTACTACAACCACTACACACACCACTACAACCACCACCACAACCACTACACACGTCACCACAACCACTACACACCACTACACACCACTACAGCCACAACCACTACACACGTCACTACAACCACTACACACCACTACACACCACTACAGCCACAACCACTACACACGTCACTACAACCACTACACACCACTACAACCACTACCACTACACACCACTACAGCCACTACACACAGCACTACAACCACTACACACCACAACCACTACCGCTACACACAACCACCCGCACTACACACCACAAGCACTAAACGCGTTACATCAAAGACAAATATCCCCCGTGTAACCTTAACAGACTGTAGGGGCAAGTGTTTTAGCGCGTAGCACCTATCAAGGCCGAAACAGCACACAAAAGATTGAGTGGTCAGCACCATTCCCGACCGCCTTTGTCTCCCCCAGTGGCGACGTTTACCACACAGCACCAGGTACTCATCTTGAGGCTGAGTCGACCTAGGGGAGGCCCAAGACGGGTTCGGATAATCGTCACTGGGCGTTGGCCGTGAGTGGGAATTGACCTCGGGTCTCCAGGGTTCGTAGCACAGCAGCGTAGCGCTAACCGCTGCACCACCGCTCCCCAGCCGGCACTACAACCGCAACAACCGCGGCACGCAACAACCACCAGCACCACCACAACCACCAGCACCACCACAACCACCAGCACCTCCACAACCACCAGCACCTCCACAACCACCAGCACCACCACAACCACCAGCACCACCACAACCACCAGCAGCAACAGCTGTAGCGCTGTCGAACGAGAGTTAAAGTTAAAGTCGTTAATGCCCCCCAAAAAAAAGAATTCCAAGTCAAGCGCGCCTTTACGTACGTACTGCATGTTGAACTTCTTTCGCACCGTACGTGCGTAGCCAATCGCGATAATCGGAGGTGCGGGCGGTAAGGACGCCAAACTAAACGCGCACACATAGACACAGACACACACAAAAAACAATTCTAAAGAAACGAGCTTTCAATCTGGCCGATTTTAAAGTGCACAGCTCCCCATTGGCTTCCTAACAGCGGAAGGGAAGAACGTTCCA